TTTTGTTTCAATTTCTTTTATGAAAGGATGAAAATTGATTCACTACTTGTCTCATTGATGAATTCTTTATGTGTTTTCTACGGATGCATACTTAGCAAGCATATTTAGGATTCTAATGCTATGAATATGTGTGTGCCTGCCCTTGATGAATGAGGACCTACATATGTTCTAGAGTAGTACTTGTTAATTGCGATTAACATGTGAATCAATTTCTAGGATAAGTAAGACAACGCCAGTACTTACGATGCCTTGTGATGACCCAAACTCTTTTTGTTCCTAATGATTTCTACTTGTTAAATCTATGAACACGCCAATCTAGATTGCATGCTAGGGACTAAGTTAAGTTGAAAACGTCATTCTCTTAACATACTACTTAAGAAAGAGTAATAGATTGAGTTCTAACATTGAGCAATTTGAGCATCTTCATCCGGAAATGAAAGGAATTTGAATGAAACATAACATGTTGCATGATTATTTGATGGTGGATAGCACTTCCCCTAACTCATTTTCTTAATTGTGAAATACAATCTGTTTTTATAATTCAGAATCCATTTCTGTCTTGCTGTTGTCCGATTTAATTTATATAGCAAATCAACTCTAAAAATCCCAAAAATTTGTGTGCGTGTAGCTCTGTGTGTCTAGTATCTGCGTATAAAATTTTGTAGACTTTAGATAGGTGTAAGCAGGTTTAATAATTATTCCTCGGTGGCTGGTCAGTAGGGACAGCAGCCCAGTCTTTGTGACATTTTAAGTAGTTAGATAAAACAATCTTCTGCGGTATTTTTATAAATAGTATGTTTGGGTATGTTTCTATGTTTAAATAGTGCTTGGGTATTTTTATAAATACATGTCTAGGATTGGGTATTTTTATAAATAGTATGTTTGGGTATGTTTCTATGTTTAAATAGTGCTTGGGTATTTTTATAAATACATGTCTAGGATTGGGTATTTTTATAAATATCTATATTTTTATATGCTACAATTGACAAATCTTAGTGTAAAAGGAAAATCAATAGGATATTTGTGTGCTACTTTGTGGTGTGCTTTTAATCCTATCAGAGACTAATTAGGCTTGGGAAATCAGAAAGAGGAGCAAAGTCAAGCCTTGCATTGGAAGATAAAGCCGAATAGTTACATAGCATTTATTGAGCAGCTAGGTAATTAATGAGGCAGCTGGGAGAGGTGTGCTTCATAAGCCAAAGGAGAGAACGAAATTGGGAGACAGACACATTATAAATAGATTGTAGCAGCTGAAAAGAAGACATCGAATAGACACACCATTCATTCCACACTAGATACACACCAGAGAAGAGAGAGAGATAAGAGAAGAGAGCTGGGAGGAGCAGCTGGACAACAAGGTCTTGAAGCCATTCATCCACACCATTGCTGCACCTAGTTCTTCTTAATCCCTTCTATTTTCTTCATGCTTTCGCTTAGCTTTGTTATACTTTCCATTATCATGTATTGCTAAACACAATATCTAGGGCTAGGATGAAGCCCTGACTATGATTTTTCTATGTCTTTGATGTTGCTTTAATGGATTCCTAGAGTCTTTTGATGAATTCTTAATCACTGCATGAAGTTCTTTTGATTGACACCTTAGGTACTTTGCATCTAGTAATTTGAGGACGAAATTGAGGTGTAACAACAATATATTTCGAATCGCCTCTTGTGATTAAGAGTTGTGAATTACATATTTTTTGTAACAAGGTTTATGGTTTGCATGATTTCCTCTTTTCAAAGATCTTAATGAGTCCTTCGTGTTAAATTTATGCCTTAACCAGATAGATTGCATCTTAGGATATGTGACCACTACTGTAACAAGAGTGAATCATATTTAAGGAAACTTTGCCTAGGTGCTGTAACAAGACTTAGGTACAGAAATTGTCATAAAAGATTCGTTAAGTGCATCAAGACTTGAGTGAGATTGTTAGTGGTGGATTCCAAAACCCTAATGTTCATCATCCAGACTTTTACATTATGCACTTCAATTTAGGTTTGTTCAACCAAATCTGTGACCCCTTTGTGTGCTTTTTGAGTGGAATTTTGGCTCGCTGCTTAATTTCGACCAGTTGTATAATTACCAAACTGAGAGATGGCATCTCAATTCCCGATTACTACCCTCCTGTTTGGTGATTCCATTTGTTTTGCTTTTGTTCTTCGTTAGATTTGAATTAGGGACTAATTTGAAGTAAGTTAATCAGTCTCTGTGGGAACAACCTCGTATTTGCATTCAATATACCACAACAACTTCGTGCACTTGCGATAAAAAAAATTCCAGAATTTATCTACTTTAGGTTGTTCTAGAAATGAAACAACACGACTTGCCATTGGCGTGCAAATATTTGATCCCAAAGACAAGCATATCAAATAACTACGTGTTTATTATGCTTATCGCAGTAACTATCAAATCACCACAATATAACAATAAACTATCAAAAGAATCATGAAGTCATGTGTGTTGATAACGGGAAATAAAATTAAGAATATAACTATAGAGTAATATTTGAGAGAAATCAAAGTGTGATTTTACCTTTTCATAAGCTCTTATTTATAAGGAACCAGGTGACTAGAGATAGACTCACAAGTGTCGTAGTAATACATGGACTACGACTCGTAGATATATTATGTAAGATAAATACATGATATTAAAAGTAATTACAAAGGCATCTACAATAATATTTACAACATATATATATATATATAGTTACAGGATGATACAATCGCGGACACGCTGTCTACAACGACGCCTCTTGCCATTGGTCTTGTGTTCCTTAGAATCCATGCTACTTTGTCTGCTCTTGATACTTCCACTTCGACTTCTGCTTCTTCTGTAATTAATAAGTAGACACATGAAAAAAAGACTATAAGCTTCACTTCATTAATGTCTCTGAATAGAATTAAATACCTTTACCTTCATTAATACATAATTAATTAAGGGTCTGTTTGATAATTATTTTATTTTTAGTTTTTAGTTTTTAGTTTTCATTTCTTGTGCTAGAGTACAGAGGAAAATGAGAATGGGAGGAAGAAGTAACAAAAGTGAAAATAATTTTAAATAGATTTCAATTTTTAGTTTTTGTTTTCACTTTTGTTACTCCTCCCTCACATCCTCTCCTATCATCTTCCTTCTAAATCTCGTCTCCACTCTCATTCTCACTTTCATTCTCCTTCTTATTCCTCTATACTTTAGCACAAAAAATAAAAGCTAAAAATTAAAATTGAAATCGTTATCAAACGGACCGAAAGATATTATTCATTACCAACAAGAAGACCATGCTTTTATACATGAAGCATGCATGCATCTTCTAATACCAAATATATTTCTTTTACATTCTTGGTTGGTAACTTTAATTGAAACGAAACAAGGTCGTGGTATAAAAATGGTCGGTCATGTCAAATATTTCAGAATTTCTTTAGGGCAATTAATTTTCTTGGTCTATATTCTCTTAGGAATATTTAAAAGCTATATTTTCCTAACCACAACTTGTCTCTAACTGATACCGTCTACAAAATTAAAAAATTTGTGATGAGATGAACCCAATGTTTTTTTTAATATACAACACTTTTTCTTTTTTCTTTTTTCTTTTTGGAAGCAAGCGATATTGTTTTCATTTCAATATACCTTATTTTGGTATGATGGCTTGCTTGGCTGGCTCACTCGTAGTTTAGTAGGTAGCTAAATAAACAAAATCCAGCAAGCACAAGAGAAAAATACTCCTAATAAAGAATCAGCAGCAGAAACATCAAACGCATCAGCAAGTGATTCTTCCCCAAGAGCAATCGGATATGCCTCCTCACGCCCAAATTCATGCAATTTATTTACAATCACAGAATACAAGCGCCACACAAAAGAAAACTTCATAGAGAGAAAGGAAACCTCTCATAAAAATTAATTTTTCTTAATTTTGTTTTAAAACAAAAACAAAACCTTTTTTACTCTAAAAAAACTATTCCTAGATTCCTAGATTGCCTTTAAAGAAATTACCGGGCTTTCGAATATTTTTCGTACACGAAGAAAAAAGAGAGGAACCTAAAGAGAGATAATAAGAGGTCAGCAACAGACGAGATAAAATATATGAAATTCACTCCCGGTTGCCATCTTTATCCCTTACTTCTTCCACATATTTACCGTTTTTCCTTAATTAAAATAGAAAAGAATTATCAATAAATAAATAAATAAAATTAAACATTCAGCTTAGACTGCAGACAGACTTTAAAATGTTTTTTAAAAATGGCGCTTCCATCTCAGATTCAAAAACCCTTACTCCCCTATCCTTTCAACAGGCCTTGAAAGAAAGCAGTAAAGCATACGACAGGAGATACAATCAACGAAACATTAAACATAAAACACCATTTCATACCATGGATGGAGTAACTGGTTAAGTTTCATCAGAACAAGTAGGTTCTCATTTCATTTCCATGTATTCTTTCTTCCATCCAAGTCCAGCATTTAGTATACTGTATCACATACGGTGAACTCAAACTCATCCACCTGTGCATTTCAGACTCCAAGACTGGCGTACGAAATGGTACTCCCATAAAACATGATAAACAGAAAAGAAAACAGCAAGAGTGCACAAACAACTAGTCTATCGCATCTTCACAACCCAAAACACATAAACCACACTGCACAATGTAGCCTTATAATATGGTTCAAATCATCAAGATTTGTCTATAAGACGCGCAAAGGCAAGACAACGGCTTTAAAAGGCGTCATGTTACAAATACAAACGTCATCCTCCAGCAACTTCTGTATCAACAGGGGAGAGAGAGAGAGAGTAATACGGGCAACTTCGCATACAAACACATTAGGTCCTTTTAGCAGGTCATCTTGAGGGAAAAATACAAGGGCCAACGAAACTGATGGCCAATTCAAATGTGTACCATGGTTTTTAAACAGGAATATTTGAAACGAAAGCTATCAATTCAAATTTCATACTTTAAAACAGAAACAAATGAGCACAAACGCATTACAAGATCATACTAACCAGAGATACTAAAACTCACAATATTAACAATGATACTCACCCATAAGCAGAAACATCAGATTCACCCAATTGTTCTAGGTCATTGATACCAAAAAGAAGAATGAACATACCAATGAAAAGTATGGGACACTACCAAAGAGGAACTATTAAGAGACAGCAAACAAGTAGATACTAGAGGAACAGTACCACAAATAATGCATACAAGAAAAGAGACAATGAACCAACCAAAAGCTAGCAATACCAAATGAAGATGTCCTAATGGGATATGGAAATCTCTTTAAACTTATCTGCCCAATTCCCTTTTACGTTTTTATATCAAATTTTTGATTTCGGTCAATTGATCCTCACTTGGCCATCATGACTTTGACGAACTCCTCGTAGTTGATCTGCCCATCACCATCCACATCAGCCTCACGAATCATCTCATCCACTTCCTCATCTGTCAGCTTCTCACCAAGATTTGTCATAACATGACGAAGCTCAGCAGCAGAAATGAAGCCATTCTGGTCCTTATCAAACACCCGGAAGGCTTCCTTGAGCTCCTCCTCAGAATCTGTGTCCTTCATCTTCCTGGCCATCAGGTTAAGAAACTCAGGGAAATCAATGGTTCCATTCCCGTCAGCATCAACCTCATTGATCATATCCTGAAGCTCAGCTTCAGTTGGGTTCTGACCAAGTGAGCGCATGACAGTCCCAAGCTCCTTGGTAGTGATGCAACCTGCATCAAAATTTAAAGAAATGTTTAAGCAGAATACAGCAAAGAAATTGGTAATAGTTGTTTAGGCAGATAACCAAGCTTCTTTTGTTTGGTGGGTGGGGAATGGTAACCAGGCTACTAACAAATGTACAAACCACTTATTTCCCTAAAATTCATTCTAATATATTATTGCTGTTATCATTGTTGAGAGAAACACCGCCTAAACTGGAAGGAAAAAAACACACACATACACAAACTATCCCATTTCAACAACCCTTCCACACACCACAATTTCAATACTGAAAACAGCATATAAGTATAAGGCAAAAAATTAAAGGCAAAACAATGATCCAGATCCTGGTATTTCTAAAACAAATATCACAATAACAGTCAGGAAAGAATAGAGCAAAGGGCAAAATAAATTCACAATTGTCCAGTCCAAAAGAAGAGAAACGAATGGATTAGCCCAAAAAACCAATAATATGACCAAGATGCTTTCCAAAAACTGACTCTTAACTAGAAAAAATACTCCAGGACTGTTAAAGATCTGTAAAATATAGAAAAGGATGCCACATGACCCTTAAATATTGTAAAAACCAGAAAAGGTTAACATATGATGTTTTGAGAATGCAACCACCAATATAGTACTTCCAGATTTCACAAAAACCCTACGTATGAACCCGACAGTCAAACAATGTAGACTTGTAGAGAAATCTACACTGATTCCTAAAACAGAAAAGTTACTGAGAAGAAAGAAAAGGTTATTCTTTGTAAATTGTGAACTGATACCAAAATTTGTTCAAAAATATATTCACAGATTGCTTCGAACCACACACGAAGCAGTGCCATAACACCAAAGAACTATCAAACAATGCATCCTTTGGTGATATCTATTCTTAAACGACAGCAACATACAGCAAATCTCTTATGAAATTATCTTTTATTTTCTTGTGTATAGCATATAACATTGTGGTGTCGATTCCAATACCATAAAATTATTTCTGCAAATCCAAAACCATAAAAGATATCTTAAATCAAAACCCCAGTTTTTCCCAAATAGAATAAATTATCCAAACAAGGGAGGAAACATGGTTCGAATAAAGAATGAGACCGCATAAGCCATCTACATATCAAATTCAACCCAGAATAGTATCGACCATGCTGGAAGTTTAAATCTAACAAAATGACCTTGTCCTAGCGATCAAAACATGCTCCTAGCATAAAACAATTCAATCGCTGACAAACCCTTGATCAACCACAAATTTTTACAAGCGAAAAACATTAGATCCAAACATGACAGATTAATTAAGCACCATAAGGACAGAGAACAAAAACGAAAACAAAAATTCTTATGGAAGAGAGACAAAAAGAGGGATCTGAGAAAAGAGACCATCGCCGTCCTTGTCGAAGAGGCTGAAAGCCTCCTTGAACTCTGAGATCTGGTCGTCTGTGAGCTGATCGGCCATTGTTGAGCGTTTGGCTTGCGAGAAAATCACAAAGAAAGTGTCCAGAGGAGAAACAGAGGAAAATTAAATATATGCGTCTCCAATGTGGAAAAATGTGAGAGACGGGTACGCTTTATATATCCAAAGGAAGAGTGGTGGTCCAGCGGCATCTGATTCTCTCTCATCCGCACGTATTCCTTTTCTTTGAACCTATAATTTGCCTTGCTCTATTAATTAAAACTAAAAACTAAACTAAACAAAAATATGAGGCACGTGTGCAACGTAAGAGTGCATACAGAACACTATGAAGATAAAAAAGGTAAAGAAGGTGAATATTTGCTAAACAGTTTTTTACTTTATAGATATTGAGTTATCGGTATATAGTGAACATAATTTTTTGGCTAAATTTAAAACATAAAATTGAACTTCATGGGATCCGGATCTTCTGCTATGATTTTCTCTGCTTCTGCTATGATTTTCTCTACTATGATCTACTTGACTTTCGTCATTCACATGTCACCTCATTTAAATTTAATTTAAGGGATTTAAACTGAACGCGTCATCCTTTAAAACAAAACTCCAATTTACTCCTAATTAAAAATTGAAAAAAAAATCCCTAATTTAGAGCCAGTTTGGCATTGATGTGCTATGAAAATGATCATTGTCAGATTTACTGTGAGATAAAACAATTTGGTTTTTGGTAATCATTTTGTCAAAAATGTTGTTTGTGCCATAATCAATTTTATTGTGTTTGCTAATACGGATCCTTCTACATGACTACGCTTTTCCCGTTCAATTGTGAAAAATATGGAAGAAAAAAAAAATTGTATATTTTTTAGTCCAACCATATTGTACGCAAATAATACATCCGTATTATATCAATTAAAAAAAGGGATCTGTAGCAAATGCTTTTGCTTTGGAATATGGAACATTAACATGCAGTCCCACCGAACCAAGATCTCAAAAGAATATAAAATGTAAAAATGATGGCCTTTGATTTCCCAACACTTTTTGAACCGTTTTCTCCATTTATAATAGGCTTATTTATTGTAGTACTCTTTAAAATTTCGATCAAATTTCACTTAACCCATTCAAAGTTAAAGTGGCCCACTTAACCCCTTTGATCGTGATTTTGTGTTCCACTTTACCCCGTACCATTAACGTCATTCAAAAGACAGTCAAAATGCTGACATGGAAGAGTCATTATGGTAAAAACACCCACAGTGGCTAATTGCTGAACGTAGTCAGCATACTACGCGGCATAGTGGACCCCACAGGCTTTGGAAATCCAAATCTAAGCAACTCAATTCATAGATTTTGCCAAAAGAAGAAGTTTCTTAGTCGAAATAATTTGGGGATTAGGGTTTGTAGTGTATAATCACAGAGAGAGAGAGAGAGAGAGAGAGAGAGAGAGAGAGAGAGAGAGAGAAAGAATATGAGAAGGAGCAAATATTGCAGAAGAATCGAAATCTTGGCATTGCGCGAATATTTGAGAGATTGAAAAGGACAAGGACGATGCCGAGAGAGAAAGGAGGTTCTCAACCCGAGTACGGTAAGTGGCCCTTCTCTTTTCAAATGGAATCAACGAAAGCGAGAGATTTATAGAGTGTGGTTAGGTTTAAGCTTCTTTATTGTCTGCTTGCTTTGTTGGGTCAGGTTTAAAGGTGTTGAGTTTGAAAAGCATGGAATAAAAAATGGTTGTGGTCCCCTATGTCTTGCTGTTATGTTTTCTTGTTTACTAGTTGTTTAAAGGTTCTTTTAGTGCTTTAAAAATGTTAGTTGCATGTGAATCTTGCTCCATGTATGTTTACTGGTAGTTTGGTGGTCGTGTTGTCCTTTTTAAACTATACATATGACTAGGCAATGGTTAAAGTGTGTTTTTTTTATGTTCTGTTGTGTAGATGACAAAGGAATAGTCACCTTTGAAGTACACCATGGAGGTAGAATGGTAAAGTCCCCAAACCTCAATGAGTGGTGGTTTTATGTGGGGGGGTCTGTTGATTATTTGGACTGGTATCTTTTGGACTACTTAAATTTGTTAGAGATATATGAGTATGCAAAAGAGCTTGGCTACCATGACCAAGTGGTTGTGACAGGGATACAAAATGGTAAAAAAGGGTGTATAGATAGTGATGCTCAGCTACTTGAATGGTGTCATTTGGTGCCTCCTAGCTTTGAAAGAGTGATTGTAATTTACTTGGAACACCCTACTGTTATTAATGTGGATGAGGAGGTACTGTTCCTGAGGGTATAAGTGTGGAGGATGAGACTATATATGAAGAGGGTAAGAATGATAAAAGGGCTGAAAATGAGAATGAAGACAGTGAAGATCATGGGGAAGACCCTGAATTTTATGACAGTGCTTATGAGCAAAGTGAAGATGAACAATGCTTGCTGGAGAAGGATGATAAAGCATTTGACAACTATGTTAACCACAATGCTCTAGATATTGATCCAACTGCAAATGAAGGAGAGAAATCATATGATATGGCTGTAAGTGATGTTAATAACTTGGATAGTAGCTCATGTGGTGAGGTTGATATGCCTATGAGAAAAAGGAAGAGGAAACTGCCCAAGTTTGATGATTTTAGGCCTGACGCATATTTGAGTAACCCAATCTTTAAGCTTGGTTTAAGATTTCTCAGTATCTATGTATTTAGGAAAGTAGTGAGAAACTATTCAGTATTCAACAGAAGGAAGATTAAGTTCTCCAAGAATGATACAAATAAGGTCAGACCAGTATGTGATAGGATCGAGAATGGAAAATGTCCATGGTTTGTTTATGCTTCAGTTGTAAATGAAAGTAGCATGGTTCAAATTAAGAGTTATGAAGAGGAGCACACTTGTGGGACTGTTGAACGCAATGTCCATGCTAACTCATCATGGTTGGCAGAGAGATATGCTACACAGCTGTCTAGAATAATAAATTAGGATGTAGGAGTTTTTAAGGAAAGGGTGAATGAAGATCTATGTGTCATATCTTCAAAATCACAAATATACAGAGCAAGGCAAAAGACAACTGCTGTAAGTGAGGGGACTTACACAAAACAGTTTGAGTCTCTTTGGGATTATGTTAAGGAGCTAAAAAGGACAAATGTGGGAACTACTGTAATGATTAAGTCCAATTTGGAGGGTGACAAATTCATATTTGAAAGGATTTATATATGCTTGGCAGCTACAAAGAAAGGGTTTAATGATGCTTTGAGGCCAGTTGTTTGTTTGGATGCTTGTCACATCAAAGGCAACACCCTGGGCAATTACTCTTTGCTGTTGGTGTTGATCCTAACAACGGCATGTATCCAATAGCTTATGCAGTGGCTGAGCTTGAGAATTATGCAACTTGGACTTGGTTTTTGGAACTCTTACATGTTGATCTTAGCATTGAAAATAGTAATGGGTATGTATGTGTTCATTACAGATAGACAAAAGTGTTGGAAATATGCCCTAAAAGCCAATCATATGATGTAATTTTTTAAGGATATTTCATATATTAGACTTATGTTTAATCCTCTTAAAGGGCAAGTTTATTGTTTATTAGTAAATGTCTCATTAATAGTTACACATGCTTAAACAATAAGTCCAAGGGATGTGAGATAGAGAGAAAGTAATCTAAGGAAGTTAGATTCAGGAGACCTTTCCTCTATTATCTTCATGCCCTAAACGTTCCTAGTCATAGGATTGTCAAATGGGCACTGACAATCCGGAAAGACCGGTACATGCTATGTCTTCTCAATTGGGAGGATGACTGGTCTCAAGTCATTCGTTTGGAGACACTAAGACAAGTATGTAGGTGCTCAATGGAGAATGAGTTCACTGAACGCGATCAAACGAGAGTTTCTTGTATGGAAATTTTACTTATATGTCAAACAAGAAACTCCAAGTTGCAATAATGCAAATTAGTCCTTAGACCTGAGGCACCATGGTTGTCTTGTGGGAAGGTTGTGGATCTTTGATGATGCTATAAAGACATGTCCTAATCACGGATGTGTTACAAGCATTGTTAGGATTCACGATTAACTCATGGAGACATGTGAGTGTACAACATGGAATCTCTATCCTTCAGTAAAGAAGGAGAATGCTCAGAAGATTTGATTAAGCCAATCTCTGATTAGAGTATTCGGTATGACTTAGAAGGATGTTCTTGTCATACTAATACAAATCATATAAGACGTGACAATCTCATTAGGGGTTTTGACATGCACCATGCCCTAGTAATGAGATTAAAAGCATTGTAATAGGGAAGGACCGTATTGCATTGTAATTCCAACTGAATAGGTTCTCTGCTTATTCTACTTAGCTTGGATATCCATGACAT